TGATTTTTCTATTATGATACATTCATCCATGGGTTCCAAAACTCCTTAGGCTGGAGCCAAAGGATCATCAGAAAAGGCTCTTCTAGGCTTCTCCAAGATCAGGCTGGATAGGATCCAGGGCAGATTGATGGTATTTTTTAGAAATAAGCACTCTGCTTTTAAGACAGAGGAATGACATGAAAAAATATGCCTTGAAATTTCTTACTGAATTTTTCCAATTAGGCCACCAAACCTTGGGTTAACCAAAGGAATCTCCTTCTCTTTAAAGATTCCAACTCCTTTGTTTAGGAAATAGAGGTGCCAGGACCTTAATGCCCTACTAGCTCATAAGGACCCTTGCTAACCCACTGCTTTTCCACATAAGTTTCTAAGTGAAACAGATCTGGGAAGTAAATTTCTCAGTTCATCTTCTCAACATATAGTAGGACACACTCATTAAAGCCCCTCCAACTCCAGGATTTATTCTGTTCTCGAGTGCTGTATTTTCCAGTGTTAGAATCTTATCAAGGATTTTCCACTTCTGCTTCTACCCTTACCTCCCTACAAAAGCCCATGCAAAGACTTGGCATAAAATTTAGTAATGCTTTTCGCAGCAGCACATTCAGCCTCTTTCCCCCAGGACTGAATGCGGAGAACAGAATTTAGGAAGACAGCAAAGGCTCTGTGCAGAAAAGGTAGAGACTGGAAAAGTAAGATGAAAAAGCGAATAAAAGGTATTATCACAAACGTCAGTGGAGGAATGGTTTCACATCTGAGGGAGTGGCCAACCATGTTAAATGCTGCAGGATTAAAGCAGGATAAAAACTGGAGGGCCTACTCCATCTGCAGTGCCTGACTTCAGAAAAATTCTCAAAGAAAGCAAACCCTGAACAAAATCCTGAAGGACAAGAGGCAACAAGAGCAGGAGAAAGAAAAGGTATCCCAAATAGCATGTATGTAGAAAAGGTACAGGGATTTTGAAAAGATTTGGCATTTCTATACTTCAACATCAAACAGAAAGTAATTTATAAAACTACAATTTATAACATCTACCAAAAAAAGATACCCAGCAATAAACCTAATACTGTAATATCTGCATGTCCATTATAGAGAAATTAATAAAGCTGTGTAAGATATTAAAGAACACCTATTTAATCAGAGAGAAAAAATTAATTAATGACAAAAAGGCCCATATATTTCAGATGTATATTCTCACCCATTTATAGTAAATGCTATATTTCATATCAAAATCTCAAGAGGATACCAGGGATTTAGCCCAGTGGTTCTGCCACCTGTGTCACAAGCGCAAGGACCCAAGTTCAATCCCCAATACCAAAAACAGAAAAACAAACAAAAAATCCCGAGGAATACTAAAAGACATGCACATGAGCTTCACAGCAACATGATTCATGATAGCCTTAAATTAAAGCAACCCAACTGTCAAGTAAAATGGACCAAAAAGTTGCAGTATATTCATAAAATGATTATATAGCAATGAAAATAAACTATAGCCACAAACAATTCAAAACATGTCAAAGACACTAACAGACTAGAGGAAGTATGATTCTATTTGCATAGTTTATAAGCAAGCAAAATGCTCTATGCAAGGACAAGTGTCTATAGTCCCAGCGACTTAGGAGGCTTAGGCAGGAGGACTGCTTGATCCTAAAAGTTTTGAAATGAGCCTGAGGAACATAGTAAGAACCTACCTCCAAAGAAATTAATTAATTATTTATTTATTTTTCAAAGTACCAGAGATCAAACTCAGGTCCTCGTGCTTGTGAAGCAGGTGCTGGAACCACTGAGCTAAATCCCCAGCCCCAAAGAAATTAATTTAAAATAAGCAAAACAAAACTATGCTGTTAGAAATCAGGAAAGTAAATTTCCTTCACGCAGGGAAGCGAACCCACCAGGAAGGGCATGGAAGAGTTTGTGGGGACATAAGCATAAGTAATGTTTTATTTCTTTATGAAATACTAGCTACACATACAAGTACATTCACTTTGTGTTAATTCAGTAACAAAGACACTTATAAGTTGCATGTTATTCTGTATGTCATACTTCTAAACAGAAAGTGTATTAGTGTCTGCAATTTATTTTGAAATGTATCAAAAACAAGGTGGATTGATGGACAGAGACAAGCTAATACATAGGTTATTAAACAAGTATTATAAAATGTCAATGGTAGAGTCTAAGAACAAGGCAAAAGGTGTCCATAAAATTCTTTCTACTTTATTTTTTTCAAGATAAAACAGTGCAGACAAAAGAAGTCCCAACAGTTTTTTTTTTCTTTTTGCTTTTGACAGGAAAATTCTAAAATCATTGAAAATTACAAGGGTAAGAAAAACCAAGACAACTTTGAAGAAAATGGCAAGGAGAGATCCATCCTCACAGGTAACAAGATATTACTAAGCAACACACATTATGAAGCAACTAAAATAATATAGTATTGACAAAGAGATGGGTAGAAACCAGTGAAACAGAACAGAGAGCCTAGAAACTGATTCGCACACACCCAGAAATAAAATAAGACTGGTATTAAAGATGGGAGGTGAATGGGCTGGGGATTCAGCTCAGTGGTTCCTCCACCTGCCTTGCAAGTGCAAGTACCCGGTCCCCCTCAAAAAAAGAAAGATGGGAGGTGAAAAGTCAGACTACACTCAATGAATGGTGATTAATACATCAGATTAATACACCAGAAAATACAGACTATATCTTGAATGACTCACAAGATAGATATTTAACAGTAAACACAACTTGAAGAATACAATATAAAGATGGTCCTTACAATGGTTCAGCTTGCAATTTTTTTACTTTATGATGGTGCAAAAGCACACCCACACAACCATGCACTTTCAGCACTACTGGGGATTGAACTCAGGACCTTGCACCTGGCAGGCAGGTGTGGAACCACCTAGGTAAATCACCAGCCCTACCCAGTACTTTATTGTATACAAGGTTTGGAGTTAGATGATTATGTCTAGTTGTAGACTAAAGTATTTTGATCATGCTTATTGATCAAAATTAAGCTAGGTTATTAAGCTAGGCTTAAGTTATGATGTTCAGTAGATTAGGTGTATTGAATGCCTTTCTGACTTGCTGTATTTTCAACTCACAATGGGTCTGTTGGGACATGTGTCAAAGTACATCCATAGTTTTTAAAGTAATATACGGTTAAATCCATATAGTGATAGGGAAAACTTTAATAGTGAAAACCTAGTAAATATAACAATGAAAGATAACTTTGCCCTTCGCTCTGTTTAGTTCAGAATTAACCCCCACCGGGAGGAATCTAGTCTCCTTAAAAAGTTTTGTAAATGAAAAGAACCACTGTTAGCTTTGTGGACCAAACACACTCCCTTCCCCTTGGCTAGGTAGAATAGATAACTCCTAAAGATAACCTCCCCAAACAAAGAACTGCATCTGGGTAGAAATTCAACTCCCTTGCCACCATGTTTTGAATATCAGCAATGTGAACAGTGAAAATGCAATGTAACCAACTGAAAGGGATCAAGGCTGTAAAACCTATAAAAGAAGGAGTTGTAACCCAGTGGGGAGTCGATCAGGGCACAGACATTAGTGTCATGGATCCCCATAGATGGAGTAAACTTTTTTTATTTTACTTCCATTCTACTGCCTCTCTGTGTGTCACTTGCCAATTCCTTCCATAACAATATGATTTAAAATGAGGACTAATATATTTTGCTTAGAAGTATATTCATACATAAAGAAAAATACAGAAATATATGACAACAAAAAACCAAATTCAGATTAGCAGTTACCACTAGGGACATGGGAGAGTACACAGGATGGTGGCACCTAAATATACAGGCATTTGTTACATTACTCTTCTCTGAAATTTTTAAATACTCCATGACATCAACTTTTTAAAATTAAAACAAGTTTGAGGTATGAGCACATGATTTGTAAAAGGTGAAGTAGTTTAAAAGTCTGGAGCAAATACTAAAAATGGAAGAATGATAATAAAAACTAAGACAGGCATGGTGGTTCATGCCCATAATCTCAGAACTGTGAGATGCGGTAGGTGAATTTTAAATTGAAGTCCAGGCTGAGCAACTGTGAGATCCTGTCTCAAAATTTTAAAAAGGGCTGGGAGTCAGGCATAGTGCTGCATGCCTACAGTATAATCCCATCACTAGGGAAGCTGAGGCAGGAGGATGGTCCCAAGTTCAAGGCCAGGCCAGACTACATAGCAAGTTCAAAGCCAGCCTGAATTACATAGTGAGATGCTGTCTCAAAAAACCAAACCAAATAAATAAAGGTCTAGGGATGTGGCTCAGTGTAAAGACCCTGGGTTCAATCCTCAGTACTGTTTTTTAAAATAATAAATAAAATAAGGAAAAGATGAAAAGACACACTGGGTCCTGAAACAGCCTTGTTAAAACTTGTTTAACTTTTGCTTTCATCCCACAGAGAATCAATCAAAAATATTAAGCTAGGGAGAGTTCTAAAATTCAAAGTATAAGATAGGGTAAGTTTCTTGGTGACACAAATTTATTATATTTCCTATTTTAGCACAGTTTATAATACACTGATGCTTAATAAACATTTGCTGAATTGATGAATTTATAGAAAGAAAGCAGAGGAGAAAAAGACAAAAATCAAAAACCAATTATAACCAAGCAGAAAAGGTTATTCTTATAATGATCACCTAAACTTACCATTATTTCTCTATTTTATAAGAAATATTAAATATAAAGAAATATTAAATATTTTATAAGAAATATTAAAGTAGAAGCTTTCAAGAGACTTGAAAAAAAGTTAACACAAAGAACCTGGTTCAAATGAGGCAATGTCATAATTCCACATGTACTCACCATTCTTCCGCTCACTAAGTGGAGGCAAATTGGGATTCCTGCCAGGGTGGAGGCCCAGGGTCAGCTCGGGCTGCAGGGAGAGCTCCTGCAATTCATTGGCAACAGCCTCACTCTGGGGGCTGGGGGCGGCAGAGAGGGACACGAGCACTGGTTCCTCATCATTTTCGCCAGCCCCACCTCCGTCCAGCCCATTCACAGCAATGACGGAAGGGGGCAGGCACACCACACTGGAGAAATCCACTTTGGCTTTCGTGATGGCAGCTTGGAAATGGAAGAAGAAACACAAAGTTAGACGGTACCATGAAGAAATCTATCAATGAGTATAAGGTGAATATTCTAATGTTACAAATTATATAATTTAGCAAACTGCCTCTCCCCACCCCCCGGTTTTTTTGAGACGGGGTCTCACTATGTAGTTGAGACTGACCTGGAATTCACTATGTAGCCCAGGCCGATCTCGAACTCACAGCAATCCCCCTGCCTCAGCCTCCCGAATGCTGGGATTACAGGCATGCATCTGCATGCCCAGCAAACTGCCACTGTTCTTAAAAGCTTTTTGTAAAGTAAGCTAGTATCATTATTAAATATACTCACAGAATGCATGAGATCTCTCTCAAGTCTGATGCCATCCTCAACTAGTTCACTCAGGAGGACAATATGTAATTTAAATAAAAGCAGCATACACACACATATAACAGATTAAAAGAAAATGATGGTCAAGAAGAAAGAGCTATGAGATATGAGATATATAATATGAGATATATTATATTATATATGAGATATATAATATATATAATATAGCTAAGAGCTATGTTACCTTCAACTCTAAGGGAAACTATCTTCAGAACATTTAATGAGTAGCCACAAGGTATTAACACAATACACAGTACCAATATCATGTGGGGGAGAAACTTCTTTAAGAAAACAGTGATGGGCTGGGGATTTAGCTCAGCGGTTCGGTGGCCTGCCTCGCAAGCACAAGGACCCGAGTTCAATCCCCGGCACCAAAAAAAAGAAAAGAAAAGAAAACAGTGTTACAGCTCTTGCCTAGTGTGTGTGCAGCAGTGGGTTCAATCCCTAATGAGAGGATGGGAGGGATCCCAAGTCAACTGATATCACAAAGAAATATTAATATAGAGATGTGAGTTTGATGATGGATATTCACCCAAATACTTTAACCTATATGAATATTCAATAAGACATTGAATATTCTATGTTTAATATCCTAATTCCAAGGATCCTAGGATATTAAAACACCTGATAACATGAAAAGAACAAGATCTTTCAAAATGACAAAGCACCAGATGTGCTGGCACACGTCTATAATACCAACATTCAGGAGGCTTGAAATCAAGAGTTCAAAACCAATCCTGGAAAATATAGCAAGACTCCATCTTAAAAACAAAAGAAAAATGACAAAGAATGTATATAATATGAAAGTCTTCTCAATGATACAAGAATGATTGCCAGATATGATGGTGCATGCCTGTAATCCCCACACTCAGGATTGAAAGAAAGAAAAGGAAAGAATTAATGATTAAGTGAATAGCACACTCACTGAATCCTGTGCAATTATTGATAATAACTTTGGGGTAGTAACAGGGATTGAAACTAGGCATGTTCTGCCACTCAGCTATACTCCTACCCCTCCTTTTTAAAAATTCTGAGACAGGATCGCAAACTTGGGATGCTCCTTCCTCAGCTCCCAACATCTGGAATTACAGGCATGTGCTACTATGCACAGCAAGAAAAAAATTTTATGAAGCATTTCAAATGTGGAAATGTTTATTCTAAAGTTATTTTTAAGAAAAGTTAAAATATAAAAGAGCATACATGTACATAAAACATTACCCAGATAAAGCAAGCTTATAAGGAAGTATATAAAACAGGTTTTGTTTGCTTCAACTATGAAAGTTTTTCTTCTCTTAAATTTATTTTTACATCGACAGATTAAATTGTGTCATATACACATTATGACTCAAAGTACATATCAATGTGAAAAGATTTTCTTATAGATTTCAAGTTTTCTCTAAAATACATCTAATGATTTATTTATTTATTTGTTTATTTATTTATTTTTGGTACTGGGGATTGAACTCGGGTCCTTCCATTTGCCAGGCAGGTGCCAGAACCACTGAGCTAAATCCCTGGCCCTAATGATTTTTTTTTAATAATGAAAAATCTATAGTCCTTGATCTAGAGAGGAAAATTCCCTGGAAGTTCTCTACAGATCTAAACAAGAACTTTAGAACCCCAAAAAATATTAGTCATAAAATTAAGAAAGGTTTGAAAACAAAAAGACATTCTACCTTCGGGTAAGGCAACAAACCTGATATCAAACCTGATTGCGATTCTAGTTAATATACCCCATAAATGTAAAAGGGACAGGGAAAGGGCCAGGTGAGAGCAATCACTATGACATTATAAATAAAGACCTTAAGGACTTTTCTATATCCCAAAAAGTTGGAGAACTGAGACAGGGCAAGTTCAAAAGAAAAAAAAAGTATTAAGTATCAATATCCAAAGAGGTAATATGGGCAAATACTGGGAAAGGGGTTTGAACAATTTTTTAAGGGCTTGAAGAAAGGGAATTATAAAACAACAAATATCTACTATGAAAATTCAGAATCTAACCTTCTAAGATTTTCCAACTTGCCTATATAATTATTTTCATTTAAATAATATCTCAGTGTGTACTGGGAAAACAACTGTTATAAAAGATTAATCTGGTTCAATATTCTTTTTGCTACTGACTCTGAAAGCATGTTTGCTTCCTTTAACAGCAGCCACTTCAGAATAAAGACTTCAACTTATAATATTCATGAATCTCTTGAAACCTAACTTCCTTAGGAGTCCTCAATATTGGCCCCCTCAACATAATGGAATGTGAGTTTCAACAAATAAAAAGTTGGAGGGAGGAAGATGAGGAAAGGGAGGGAGGGAGACTGGGAGTATTAAAACTTTAGTCTAGGGCCAGGATCTAGCTCAGTGGTGGCTGCCGCCAGCCTCCCAGCCTCAAAAGCCCGTGGACCCGAGTTGCATTCCCAGTACCAAAAAAAAAAAAAAAAACACTTTAGCCTAGGACCTAGGAAGAGCAGCTTCAATGGAGGAAACCAATGTTAAATTATTATGGATTATAAATACCCACATTTGGGGCTGGGTGTGGCTCAATGGTAGACCATGTGCTTAGCAGGAGGCTCAATTCTTAGCACCAAAAAAGAAAACTGCAAGTACATACCTCTCACTAGAAAACTGATAGATGTAATTGTAACAGCAACAACCGTGTATTTAGTAGACAGACCTTGCAAACAGTATCTGCACATAACAGGCACTAGATATGTATTTGCTGACTGAACAGAAAAAAGTATTAAAGATACATTAAAGTCATCTGAGGGCCAGGGATTTAGCTCAGTGGTTGCCACCTGTCTCACAAGCACAAGGTCCTGAGTTCAATATGAATTGTAAGAGTTGTTAGCACAGGTTTCTTTCTTTTTTTTTTTTTTTCTTTTTAGGCACTTGTTTTGGGTACAAGGCTTTTCTGAAATTTTATAAATTTTAAGGGGAATTTTTAAAGGAAGTTTTTTTTTTGAGGGCAGAAAGGAGAGAAAAGTAACCACTTAAGTGGAATATTCTAATAAACTACTTTTCATAAGTGCCATGTTTATGACCTAATCATTCCAAATTTTGCCTTGATGTCTGACTGCTACTCCTTTCTTTCAAAGACAGTGTTTTTCGTAGTAAAATCACTGATTTATAGAAACCTTTATTTAGGGGGTAAAGTTAACCTGCTAAACCCCACGTTGGCTGCTGCTGTTGAAAAACTGTGCATTGGGAGTAAAAAAAAAAGTTTTTCTCTGTCTTAAATAATTTTTTAAAAAAGAGTCGTGAGACTCATCCTTCCAAGGAACATATTGATTGGTCTTAAAGACTAAACAGTTTAATGGTGGCTGGAACATCTATTTTTCTACAAAACTGGAAAAATGAAACTGGTTCTACAAGAATGTATAACAAACTAAAACATGTGAAGCAGTGTTGATTCTTAAAAAAAATTAAGAGGCAACTTTAATTTACATGTTTTTTAACCATCCATAATTATTTTAAAATAGCTCAACAAAATGGGTGCTTAAAAAAATATTCATTAGCGGCCTGGGATTTAGCTCAGTGGTTCGGCGCCTGCTTCACAAGCTCAAGGACCCGAGTTCGATCTCCGGTACCAAAAAAATACATAGATACACAGATAGATATTGATATATATTGCTAGGCACCATATTGTACACCTACAATCCCAGCTCTCAGGAGGCTGAGGAAGAAAGATGGCTGGGGCCCAGGAATTTGACTCCAACGTGGGCAACACAGCAAGACTTCATCACAAAAACAACAACAACAAAATTATGAAGCTAACACATACTAAACTAAGAATAAAAAGAATACATTCTTTAATACATTCTTTTTACTAATTCAGAGTAACTTCCTCTTGATTTGAATTAGGTAACTGTCATTGCTGAATTCAGATTTGACATTCACATGTCACTATTCCCAAGAGACAATAAAGAGCTATCATCTGATACCATAATTTTTTTTACAAATCACGAAGTTACACCTCATGAGTATGTGATTCTAGTATGCATTTCATGCACATATCCAGTACTTCTAGAAAATTCTTTCATGTAAAAGAAATTTTGGGGAAAAAGGCCTCCAGAAGAAAGTCAACCTAAGTCTAATGTTAGGTATGAAAGTAAATAAAGATTAACTTCTTAATTTTATAATTAAAAATGAGCCAGGCATGGTGGCGCACGCCTGTAATCCCAGCACTCTGGAGGCTGAGGCAGGAGGATCACTGTGAGTTCGAGACCAGCCTGGCTACATAGTGAGTTCCAGGTCAGTCTCAACTACATAGTGAGACCCTGTCTCA